CCTGTAAAAGGGGAAAATAAGTAAAATACAGTTTAACGTGTAAAGTACCACTACGAGTCGGAGGAGGGGAAATTTGAGGATTTCAGTAGTAGTACAGTTGGTGTTTGTGTCTCTATATGACTATCTTTACGCACACTCAGTCGAAGAACTATGTAGACGACTGTCTGCCGCTGATTGTAAACTTATGTCTGAAATTCGTTTATAGTCGAAAACTGTACAGTATTCCTAGCAAAACAGTAACTGTATAATGTTGAGGACATATTGATTCTTCATGTATTATAAATGATATAACTTACTAATACTAATAAATAATCATCATCAAATAAGGACGTAATTATATAAAAATAAAAAACTCCAATCATAACGGTCCTTACGTCTGCATAAGTTTTAGGCTGTAAACTTTAACTGTTATGTAAGCCAACTAGACAGACAGTTTGTCACTCTTCCTCCTGTACATTAGCAGATAAAAGGCATACAATATTTGAATGAATGGTAAATAAAGAATGCTGGAAATAACTGCATCTCCATTAGCCTATATGCTATGCAGAGACTGCCTTCTTCATGACCTGAATTGCAGCTGGTGTTTTAATATGGCAATTGGCAATTTGACTTATACAACATTCGCAAGTTGTACATTTGACTCATACAATAACCCACCTTCGAGTGATACTCTAGTTTCTTCATGTTTTGTTTTGTTTCCCTCTTGCTTGCGCCGGACTGAAACTGTCTTTTCACCGACATCTCTTCACCTGCACTAGTGGCCGTATCAAAGCTGTGATTGGTCAGATGATGATTCATTGCAACGGTGTCGGGTTACAGACGTGCTCCCCTTGTCATCTCTCAATCTCACTCTCGCGGGGGGTGCACGGAGAACTGAGCGGAGAACTGCGCACAGCAGCTGAGGCCCTCTGGGCGGGGCCCCTGCGCAAGGCGGGGCCCCATGCAGCCTGCGTGATTGGCCTGTAGGGAGGGGCGGCCCTGCATAAAGCAACACCCCACTTGTGAATTTTGAAGCTAATAATGGGTGGAAAATATGATAAATAAACATTCAAAATACAAACCCTTCCATGTGGCTCCTACATTAGTCTCATATTATCTCACAGTGTGTTAGTAATGACATGCTTTACCCTCTAATGGCAGAATAGCCTATGCACAGAAGCGCCAATGTGTACTGTCAGACCTTTTAAAGTGAATTCAGCTAAGCTTTGATCTGTGTCCGTGCTCTGCAGGTGGAGCGAGGCGACCCGCCACCTGGAGCTGTGGGTGCAGCTGATGGAGCTGAATGAGGCCGGACAGTTCACCCCTGTGGAGGTTCTCCCCGCTAAAGACGTCCACACGGGGGGGGTCTTCCAGCTCAGACAGGTATCCTGGAATTGGTCTTTGTGGTTTTGTACATTTTACACACAGTATTAAATGTATATATGTGACAATAACTATCCTATCATGTGAACCTGTTCCTACAGGGCCAGTCTCGCCGGGTCCAAGTGGAGGTGCGTCCAGTACCAGAATCTGGCACCATGCCCCTCATCGCCGCCTCCATCCTCTCTGTGTCCATCGGAGACGTCAAGATCCGACAGACCCGGGTCTCCAGAGGCAGTGAATCACATTGGGTGAGGAGGAATCATCAGTATTAGTTCAAAAATATGTAAAACAAGGGATTTTATGGAAATATCATGACTTTGCTCTTCAGTTTTCATGATTGACTTGTGTCTGTATTCTTCAGGGTGGGGATGAAGAGATGGACAGCTACCAGGTCTGTAAAATGACGTAGATGCATGATGGTTTGCTTATAATGGAATAAAATGCGGTGTAATCAGCTGACGTCAAAATGCACCTCTACCTGTGTGTGTGTAGGAGGCAGATCTGGAGAGGTTGAGGGAACAGTGGCTGGTGACGCTCACTCAGAGACAGGAGTATCTGGACCAGCAGCTGCAGAAGATAGTTTCCAAACCAGGTACAGCTGTGAAACACATACACAGTCTAAAGAAATTGAAAAAGAAAACTGTCAGGACCTTCAGGAACTCTATGGAAGCCCTGAGAGACAAGTGACGGAAGATCTGGTGATCTATTTAAAAAGTCTGATCTGATTTTGGTTGTTGTAATACTAATTGTGGCCACAAGAGGCTGAAGTGCGCTACTATTTTAAGAAGTAACATGACTGCTATTGGACCCATTGTGGGAGACATTTTATTACAATTACAAACGCTTTTTCTTACAGCTAATATTTTGTAAACCTTTTTGCACGGAATCTATTTTATTGGACAACAGAACATCGTACTCATATCAAAGAAGAACAGATGATAATAATGAACCATCATTTATCACCGTATTATAGTTTTTATTGTAGTTTAAAAGGTGGTGCAACAATAGTGTTTTTATTTTATGATTTGTATTTTACATTTCGTGTGTGTGTCTGTGTAGATAAGTCGGAGGATGATGTTGAGAGGGAGTCTCAGCTGCTGGAGTGTCGTCTGACGCTCACCGAAGAACGCAACGCTGTCCTGGTGCCGTCGGCCGGCAGCGGCATCCCCGGAGCGCCGGTGGAGAGGTGAGTCTGAAGGGAAATCAATAGTTTATTTGATCTATTAATGAAAGGCTTGATTTAAAACCAATGCTTCCTATTCACCCTTTACAAACACAAAAAGAGTTGTTGGAAATGAACCAGCTCCTATTATAACACAAGAATATTTTTAGTTCAAATATGCTTTACTTTATTAACATGTTATGGTGCTCTATACTTTGACTCCACAACATTTCTTAGGTGAATATTGTACTTTTTTACACCAAAAAAGATGGCAAATATAAAAGAAAGGATAAATGGTTGCGGTTAAAGTGAAAAAAACGATGTAAAATTGTTCAAACGTGCTCCTCTTTGCCCAGCAATAATATTCAAATGCAATCATAATATATATATATATATATGTCATAATATAACACTAGCAAAGTGGCCAATTTGTGGAATTATGAACTTTTAATTTGGATTTTTAAGTACATTTTTATAATAAAACGTATGTAATCATTCTCTAGTCAAATGTAAGCAGGTACCCTTTACTTCCATACACTGAAGTGGTCTTGACAACTTTGTGAATCCCCAATATACTGTAACTGCTAAAATGACAGCTTATAATGACCACCAAAATCACCACTGTTTTCTACTCACTAGATCCATTTGATTACAAAACAGCTGTCCTTAAGCAAATACCACTCAATTAGGTATAAGTAGAGATCGCTGTGAGCCCGTCTGTGTCTTAGTTGTTGAGTCATTATGCTGACTGTGCTGCTCCTCCACAGGGTTCCTGTTTCTGGGATGGAAACACACATTCCTGTCCTGTTCCTGGATCTCAGCGGTATGTCCTTCCTCTCTGTCTTATCTGCTCATGATTTAGCCGACTCCTCTGAAGTCTTAATAACTGGCTTTCGTCTTCGCCTGCAGCTGATGATTTCCAGTCTAGTCTATCTGCTCCGTTGGCCGGGGGGCTGGATGCCCTCCTCAGTGGGGAGGAGGAGGACGACTTCTTTGACCTCCATATTGTTAAACACTTTGATCCAGAGGTAAGGAGATGGGTTTTCATCTCTTAAAGACACACTGTTTCTACAAATCCCAAATGTGCCACCTAGATAGTACATGTAGGGACTATTTTAGCCATTCACTGTCCCCTGCTCTGTGACGTCATCAGGTGAAGGTGGAGGCCTCCTGGGACTCGACGGTGCACGAGTGTCCCCAGCTGAGCCGCGTGGCGCCGGTCGATCAGAGGGTGTACCTGACGGTCAGCACGGTGGTGCAGCTCAGCCACCCCGCCCACATGCAGCTGGTGCTCAGGAAACGCATCTGTGTCAACGTCACCGGAAGACAGGTGGGTGGCCCCGAGGCATGATGGGTAGAAGCAGTCGGACACAATGACATTTCCTTCTCAAATAATCACTTGATCGCTAAACCAAATCATTCAGGGACATGTGTTTTGGTGTTTGTGTGGCAGGGTTTCGCTCAGAGTCTGCTGAAGAGGATGTCTCAGCGCAGCGCCATCCCCGGCTGTGGAGTCACGTTTGAAATAGTTTCTAACATCCCAGGGGTAAGTACCGGATCAATGTGTGTTGACGCTCTTTTTTTGTCCAGAAATTAGCCTCGAGTAGGCTGTGCTTACTGTGCATCTATCGTTTTTTTAAAGTGTATTCTGCATAGGACATGCAAATGATCTGACAGGTTGGATGTTGTGTTTCAATATGTTTCAATAGCATCATTCATGAATGTGGGCCTTTATCTTCTCTTTTTACACAGCATTATTAAATACTTAATGCTGGTTGTCTACGTTCTGTGGTCTTTGCAGATGAACAGGAACACATTTGAAGGGACGCTAAATATTTCAGGATGGTATAAATAAATAAAACCCTGGTATGGTGAGGCTTTAGAGCAGGGGTCGGCAAGTTTTTTTTCTGAGCCACTAGATGGCGGGCCAGAACATAATCAAAGGCCAGAGCCTCTGGCTAGACCTGCCCAAAGGGAGATTCGTCCTCTCTAGCCCCATTTCAGTCCCATGTTAAAAGCCAGGGCTATCATCTGTATTTTAACAGACTTATCTTTTAAATTGCTTCTCGTTTTGCACCGTCCCGTTCAAATGAAATCGCCGTCAATCACTTTTCCATGCTCGCACCAGGGAGGGGTTACAAGGCTTGCGTCTTGTGCTGCATTCCCTTGCACTCTCATAAATGTCCAATGAGCCAAAACTTTTCTTTCAAAACAAAGCTACCAACTGGGTTGCAAGCTGGGGTGGCAGCATATGCACCGCCACCCCTCGCCCTCCATGATCAAGCGGTTTCTCCGATGTTGTTGTCAATGTTTTGATATCCTAAGTAAACATTACGTTTGAATGATTTAGTGAGCTGGTGTTATTTTTTTCAAACCACACACCGCTTGTTGGCTATTTCAGCACCACGCGCTGTCCACTTACTTATTTATCCACTATCAGCGTCAGTGCACCCCGCAGATTGTGCCTGTGCTGTGTCATTCACTCTCAACATGGATAAAAGTACAATAAGCATTATTCAGGTATAGGTAGATTCTCTATTCAGACATTATAGCCTATATGTGTGACTGTCGGTCCAATATTGTAAAAAATAGAAAATATTATTATTATTCTCATAATAATTTGCTGGCGAGCCGCCAATGGCCCGTGGGCCACCTGTTGCCGACCCCTGCTTTAGAGGGACAATTTAGATATTTTTAAGTGGGACTATAGGAGGTCCAGTAGATGGCTGTTGGAACGCCCCCAAGAGCCAGGAAGCTAACATGAATGCTAATGCAGGAGTTGCAGGTAAACAGTTGCCTCGATTAGTTTGTTTGTGTTAATGTATGTAAGTTGGGAAACAATATAGCATTATTTAAAGTCCTACTGATGGTTTTTCAGACCCCTGTCCTTTTACTTTCCGCCAAACTTGGGGCGTTATGACCTTCACCAACTGTACACTCTTTAAACTGACTACTGAAAAATACCTCCTACAAAACCACTCAAACTTTCCCCTTAACCACACTGAATAGTACCCTGAGTGTACCCTCTCCCCACAGGACATCCATGGTCCAGAGGACAGAGAGATGTTGGCCCGGCTTGCTGCCAGCACCGAGGACGACCAATCAGCTGACAGTGAGGCGGCCATAGAGAAGTATCTGCGCAGCGTCCTGGCTGTGGAGAACGTCCTGACTCTGGACAGACTCAGACAGGTAGGAAATACACTTCATGCTAATTTGTCGTTGTATTTTGACATACTGTAGATCTCCAAACAGTAAATCACCTGGTATTTGGCATCATTTACATCACCCAGAACACCTTAATGTCGGACCAGTTGAACTATATTGCTGTGATTGATGTTTCTCTGAAGCGTCGGCACATTACATTTCCATTTCCTTTTTGCACTTTATGTTATTTTGGAAGATGTTATTAGTTGAAGCAGTTTTCTTGGAAAATGGAAACAAATAGATCAAATGAATTTAAATGCATTTAAAGCATCCAAAAGCTCAGGCATAGTGTTTTTAACAAACACATGTTTCTTGTTTTTGTGTGTGTGTAGGAGGTGGCTGTAAAGGAACAGCTGGCAGTCCGAGGGAAAGCTCCCAGACGCTGCCTGAGCTCTCCAAACATCCACCGAGTAAGAGACTTCAGGTTTTCTTCTTTATTGACCCAACTAACATTTGACTATCCTCTAAGATTTCTCTGTAGTTCTGTGGCCATATTTCTTCTAACATCACTTCCATGAACTCACAGCTTTTGTAGTACTGCTAACATACAGTAGAGTTAATTATTGTAGGCTTCTTTGTATTCTGGGCTTCTGGTTTTGTTTCTTCATGTTCCCTGGTGTTAACCTGTCTAACCAAACGCTCACCACCGCCCTGGCTCTAACCCTTTAACCAGCTGTCAGCCAGCAGTCTGGATCTCTACTCCTCCACTCATAGGCTCAATGACTTTAAGGTGAGAGGCATGCATCCTGTCTACTAATCTTCTCTTTTCTACCAGTGTATGTATCATTTCTCAGTCTTCCACTTTGGTTTTAATTGTTTTTTATTTCTTATTTACAAGAAATTCTCCCTTATTATTATTAATAATAATAACAGTAAGCTAAAAGTAATGTGAAAAATGATTAAAATGGTAAGCTAAAAGTAATGAATAAACTGTTTACATTGTTTGCTTAAAGTGATGAAACAATTGTTCAAATAGTTAGCTAAAAGAAATGTATAAATAGTTGAATTAGTTAGCTAATAATAATGGAATAATTGTTTTAACAGCTTGCTAAAAGTAATGGATAAAAAATAATAATAATAATTTCAATTTTGATAGCGCCTTTCACAAAACCCAAGGACGCTTTACAATGAGAAACAAAACAAAATAATAATAATCATACAGATACACAAAATGATTAGAATTGTTAGGTAAGAAGATAAAGCAAGATCTAATGGATGAATGGTGGAAATAAATGCTGTGTGTTATTATTGCATTCCCAAATGGAGGCTGCTTAAGGTCACAGTTTTCTGAGGTGCTCTTTAAGCCTCATGCGTGTCCTCCTCTGGGTCTGCAGGGCTGGGAGAGCCACCAGGACCTCTCCTATGTCCCGCCTCCATCCAGACGCACTCTGCCCAGCTCCATATCCCAGACCCTGAACCCAGACACAGGTACTGATAACACCTTTATCTCCTATTGGATTCCTTCTCTTTTTTGATGTCATCAGCTGTTTTTACTTTAGCCGGTGGGCGACTTTATCTGTCTTTCTACTGTGAATCTCTTTTTGGCACTCCGTGTCAATCCTTTTTGCCTCAAAAAGCATCATCTGTTCCTGCTGTTCTGCCTTTTTCCGCCCTTGTTTTCTCAATTTCTGCACCTGCAACCTTTTCCTCTTCATCAGTGCATCCAGGCTTTGCTGAGTCTTATCTCTCTCCAGTGAAGGCTGTTCCAAAGCTGCTGAAGTCCCTGCTTCCTGGTGGCAGAGCAGCTGGTAAAGAGCAGACGGCTGTCCATCAGCAGGTACACTCCTTCACATTCAAACCTGGGTATTCTGCTCGCTGTCTGAATCTAAATATCCTCTTTACCCATCAGCAGCTAGTCCTATTTCTTCTGTTTCCATGGAAACAGAGCTTATATAGATGGAAACACATAATGAACAGATAAAGTGTCTTACAGTAAGTGCTCAGTTGTTTTCAGAAATTGGAAATGTGATAAACCAAACCAATCTTTTTGTGCTCTTCTTATATGCAGGCAATTGAACAGTTGAAACAAAACACATGTTGGCATCATCAGTTCTTACAAAATAACATTATCAGTTGTTTGACTTTGAATAAGTTTGAAAGAATCTTAAAGATAAGATGTACTTTATTAATCCCAAATTGGGAAATGTTTTTGTTGTTGCAGCAGCATGTAAAACAAAGTATTGCACTTAATAGAAATACATTAAAAAAAGAGTTGAAAATAAACAATTATACAATATAAACATCTCAAAATGGAAAACCGAAGAGTGGAAATATAAAAGTTGACCATGAATATAAAAATATGACTATCTGACAAATAAAACACAATTGAAAGGCATATTAAATTAGATATAAATGTAAAATGTACATTGAAGTTTTAAGCCCAGTTAACAAAAGAGAAACTATGGAGCATTGAGTTCTCGGCCAATCGGAGGTGAGTTATCATACAGAGTTATTACTGTTGGCTGGAAAGACTTCCTTTATCTATCCATGTGACAGTCATAGACTGTAAATAAGAAGACTTAACCCAGTGTTTCTCAAAGTGAGGCATGACAGGGGGGGCCGCGAGAGACCAGGAGGAAAAATGGTTTTGAAAAAAAAGAATCATAACTAGAAAAATTATTGATTCGAAAATAATATGATACAGTACAAGTTAGGGCTGCTCGATTATGGCAAAAATCATAATCTCGATTATTTGGGTCAATAATTGATATTGCGATAATTAAAAACGATTATCCATTGACTTTGGAAACATCGATTTATTGGCGAATTTTTTTTTGAACAGTATGTTTTTAACAGTTGATTACCCTGAACTTTAATTATAATTCAACTGAAAAAACAATAAGAAAAAAAAATAAGAAAAAAAAGTAATACAAAAATAATTGTTTTATTTCGATTACGTTGTTTTCGTAATCGTTGCAAGCCATAATCGTAATTGCGATTTAAAATATGATTAATTGAGCAGCCCTAGTACAAGTACGTCTGGGTCTCTGTGTTTCATTCAAGCTCGGCTCTGTGTGTGTGTGGAACGAGCCATTTTGTGTGAGAGAGAGAGAGAGCGCACCGGTACCGGAGATCGTTGTTGTTAGCTTCTGGTGCTAGCGAGCTACGCTAACGGATATAAGGAGTTTTTTCAACAACAAAGTGGAGGAGAGTCCTCTCCTGTCAGACTGAGAGGCTCAGTGAGCTAAAGGACTCTCTCAGTGTTATCTCATTGGGTCTCAAACTTCGGTTTTGGTCACCATTAATGTAAACAATTATTTCCGAGGCACAAGTTTATATGATCATTATAGTTATAAAAAAATAAGAGAATAAATAAAAAACAGGTATGAAATACTATATGACAGTAAAACCAGAATAACGTTTAAAAGGGTGATTTGCAAAATATCCATAAAGAAAAAGTAAATCTGTTTACAGTTCTGTTTCAAATGGGTGTTGACAGATGTATCCATAGATCTCTTCATTTTGCTCTCAAAGTGCACCAGATTGATGCTTTTAACTTCAATATTTAAAAAAGATTAAACATGCCCCCGGACCCTGCCCCCGGACCCCCCTATGTGAGGTCCACACACCACCTATAAAAATAGCACTTTACCCCTGCTTACACCTATATGCCGTGAGCTGATTATCGAGCCTTCATTGTAACAGTCGCGAGTACACTGTGTATATGCGTGGGGATTGTTGCAGTAGAAAGTTCCACTGTAGCCCCCGGTACATTAATGGGAAACCCTAAATGTTTGAGCACCCTCTATGAAACGTCAAGCTACACCACAGCACCCCAAAATAAATCTCTGGCGCCTCCACTGAGCCTGCAACCCCGTTCTGAAGAAATGTGCAGTGCAAAAAGGCTCATTGCAGCCACTAATGATAAAACACACTTTTTGGCCAAATATCAGCATTTTCTTTCTTTTCATTTTTTTGCACAGATTGCAAAGTGGCAAAGCATTATAACTTATTGTTCTAGCAAAGGACAATTGTATTATGTATTTATTTTTTGACCACACAGACTTATGGAGCATTGTTTTATTATCACTGTTCTAGCAAAGGAATGCTCACGTTCATATTGATGTATTTTAATACATGTTAACTTGGCCCATTACGTGACTATTTGTGTTGGGGGGCCCGACTTTTTTTTTTCTCCAAAGGGGGGGCCTGACAGAAAAAGTTTAAGAACCACTGTATTAACCTAAACTAATCCAGGCTTTGATTTAGGAATAATCCTATCGGTCATTCTGATTCCTGACACACACACACATTACTGCAGCCCCCCGGGGGGTTACAACTGAAAGCATCATCACATACGCTACAAACGATGTTGATTGATGTGCTGTTTAATGTTTGTGATCAGAGCAGACGCTTCACAAACAGCCCCTACCGAGACAACAGCAGCATAGTGTGTGTAGAGGAGGGTTAATTAGGAGCAGGTGAACCCACCCCCCCCCCTTCACCACCTCTGCATTCACTGATCTCCAATCATGTGCCATCGAGACCCGGGAGTCTGCAGCTTTTCATGGCAGCCAAACACTACAGCCTCTGATTGGACTGATTAGCACCGTGAGCGGAGGAGGGGGGGCTCATCATGGAGATCATGTGCCGTGGTGTGTGGTGGGGATGGAAACCTCCGGGGCTTGTTGGTGCAGCGTTTGAGGCCATCGCTCTAATTACTGCTCCACTCCGACATGCCTGCCACAGATGTTTAGAAAGGTCAACACGGAAACAAAAGCCTGGAGTTATGCAAATAATAGCAGGCTGTTGAGGTGTGTGTCAATTGGAAGAGTGGTTGATTGTAACTGTGGCTAAAAAACAATCACTAAAGTGGATAGATTGTTTATAAGAAATTGTAATGTGACTTGCCCTCGAGAACTTGAGGCTTGCTTTAAAAAGACTTGAAAACTGACTTGGACACGCCCCAAAACGACTCTAAATCCTTTTGAGTTGCAGAGTGTTATCAGCCAATCGATGTTCTCCTTCAACCTGATATAATGGATCTGGATGGTTTGTGTTGGGACTTTAAACACCACAAACTGAGTGCCATATAGATTCATTAACCCTTCACCAATACAATCAAAACACAATCCTTTCACAACAAAAGAAAGGACAATTATTTAATAAGTAAAATAAGTGAGTATTAACTGACGCTAAAAGATACAAAGTAAAATAACTAAACGACAAATAAAAACGAATGTAAATCAAAATAACAGAATACAAATTGAATGGTATGTTAATATTTAATTATCACCGTACCAATGTTAATTATACGACCTTAAAAGATGAATGTTTTAGTAGTACCCATTTACCAGTATCCATACAATGCATCCTTCCTTTGCAGCACAACGACCACATGCTTTATACAGTTGCATCTACCTAGAATTCCTTCTCCGAGCCAGCTGCGAGCCAACTGCCTTTGCAGTTCCCAGGCAAATCCCAGCCTGTGGGAGTCTCCTTCTCCTGTACACTACATGAAAAGGTGTTGGGGTCAACTGTCCCTTTACTTCAAATATGACTGATACACAAGTGTCAAGTTTCAAGTGTCTTCATTTCATGATCCTTTTTAATCTTTTTTAATACAAACACAATGTGACGTCCATTTAACAATGACTATGCAAGAGGCAGCCTTTGTTGTGCACCTGATGTGTTGTTACCTTGCAGGTGTTCTGTCCTGATCCAGAGAGGGATAGGATAGCTGTGTTTGACATGCTCTCTGATGGTAGACATGTTGTCCATGTAGGTGGTCCTCATCAAAGTACAATAGACCCAAATCAAACCTCTTACATTTTGATCATGAGAGTTGGAACAATTGTCTTGATTTATTAACAATCCTTCATTATTAAAAAATGTATAAACCTCTTCAAAAACTGGAGAAAATTGTAAAAAGCAAACAGATCAAATAAAAAAATGTAATCAAGTTAAAGATGTTACTAGAATACTGAATAGGAATAAATGATTGTGGGAGCAATTATAATTAAGCTGCTATTATCCTGATTGTTTTACCAGTTTATCATGATTGTCTGTCTGAGTCATCTGATGAACAAATACTTACTTTGAGCCTCATATCAACATCTTGATTGTCGATCCCAACAATAAATTCAATATGAATGTTCTCTTCTGATAATTCGTCATATAAACACACATGTGCAGTCTTATATTGTCACAGATGGTTAAGTGGCCTAGTTAGTTCTCTGTGAGGTGTCCAGAGAAGGCAGTACAGCACCATGTTCAGCCTACTGATCTGTCCTCTCTTTACAATCACAGATGAGTTTTTACCCCACAGACTCTGCTTCTGTCTCCATGCTGAAGCTTTGTAATTCCCTCGCAGCAGCTAATCACCACTTGATGCACACTGTATAATAATGAACAGGTTAGGCTTGTATTCATATCTAATCTCCAGGCGGAAGCGGACTCAAATGACACTGACTTGCTCATGATTACATCTTGAAGTCTACTTGACAAGCTTTCTGCACTGATTTACAGATTTAACATTGCTTAATTTAAAATGACATTCACTGAACATCTTTTATTCCCTTCCTGACGCAGAGTTTGCCTCGCATCCTGGTGCAGTCAGCCAGTGTTGAAGAGGGCATGAGCAAACACCAGCAGCCGGTAAGTTCTACAACCCCAGATGGTGTTATATCTGTATGTACATTAGATGCAGGGTGAGGCAATAGCAATCAATGTTCCTTTTCAAATATTTGTATGTGCTTTCTATGACCCTATTTAGACCCTCCAGAAAAACGCGGGCAAAAATCCTTGATTATGCAGGCTAAAATCCTTGATTATGCGATTAAACATGCAGGGTTTTTATGTGATTTTATGCGGTGAAATTGGGCCGCATTTGGACCCCGGGCCATCGTTTGGACACCCCTGCCCTATTAAAATGAAAATATAAAAAGCTGTTGGACAATTCCTTTTCAAACCAGTACTTTGTTTGTATTGCAATTACATTTTTAAGATTGAAACGACACTTGAATATTATCCACTATACAGGATACTTTGAAAAATAATAGCTTCTCTGTTTTCATTTGAATATGGTCATAGAATACTAGTTGTTAAAATGACAATTTGGATTACTGCCTTTTATGTTTACTCAAAGAACACAATTATGTGGAACATTTGTGGAAGATTTGCAGTTCTATTTTCAAGGTTAAATTATGTTGTTAAAAGTCCACTATGGGCCTCCATAGAAACACTTTTCTCAACCATATTCCTCTGCATCGATCTCTTTCAAGAATGGATCCTACAGAAACAACACCAACCTGGCTGTTTTTTAGACTTAACATTTACAATGAATATTATACGGCTACATTATTATTTATTGCATTCTAATTATTATGTCTTTAGGATTTCAATAAATTCTACATTGTGTTTGTGAGATTCAATCGATGGGAAGTTGATTTTATTAAACTCATGGTTTCCCTTAGGTTCCCATTGAGGCAATCATTCCTGACCTCCAAACAGAGAGCCCCAGATCCAAGCCCCTCCCACCGCCAATCCTCCCGGAGACAGAAGACTCCCTCCCCAGCCCGACCAGCGAATCATCGAGCGGTTACATTTCAACAAGCATGTCTACAGCAACGCTAGCAGATGTCTACACCCTGAGCTGGGACCTGCCTCCCTCTGACGTCATGGAGGCGCTGCCAGATGAAGAGGATGAAGAGAACGGAGTGACACATTACAACCCTTACCCTGAGTCAATCTTTCGTAAGGATCAATCAGAGCCTCAGGAGTCATTTCTGGTGTTGGACTATGAGGCAGCTCAAGAGAGGCCTGACTCGCCACCGTCCAAACCATACGTTACTCCGTCAGATTCAAACCTGAGTCAACAAGAACCAAATGAGTCTCCATCGGTCCAGGAGCAAAATGAGTCTGATTCAGTTGCAGAATCACACTTATTACAAGAGTCAACAGTTGATAATGTTGCATCAGAACAATTAGACCATTTTGAGCCACTTGAAGATTCAATGCTAGTAGAAGAGAATGAAACAAAACAGACAGAAATTCCAGAAACGGAAGACCCAAAACCAGAACCTCCTTCAACAGAAGAACTCGAGTTAGCTACAACCGACGAGACAGAAGCTGAACAGTCACTCCACCATGAAACACAACTATCTGCACCAGAAGCTCAGTCTGAAACAATTGTTCAAGACCAAACAATCTGCGACACTTCTGAAGATCCAACCCCAAAACTGGTCCCAGCTGTGTCAGAAGTCCTGGTTTCAGTTTCTGCCCCATCAGAAGATTTGGTTCTTCTTGCTTCATCCCAAGAACTGTCACCCCACCATGAAACACAACAATCTTCAAAAAAGGGTCCGTCTGAACCAGCCGTCCAAGACCAAACAACCTGCAACAGTGTCCAAGATCCAAGCAAAATCCTGGTCCCAGCTGTGTCAGAAGTCCTGGTTCCAGTTCCTGCCTCATCAGTAGATTTGGTTCTTCTTGCATCCTCCCAAGAACTGTCACCCCAGCATGAAATACAACAATCTGCAAAAAAGGGTCCGTCTGAACCAGCCGTCCAAGACCAAACGACCTGCGACAGTGTCCAAGATCCAACCGAATACCTGGTCCCAGCTGTTCTAGAAGTCCCGGTTCCAGCTCCTGCCTTATCAGAAGATTTGTTTTCGGCCTCATCCCAAGAACAAGCCACCACTGAGGCCTCAAACCTAAAAGACAGCTCTGTCCCAACTTCTTCCTCAACCACAGATGACGTCCAAGAGGAAGAACCTGTCGATGCGTCCAATAAAACTTCCTCAGCAGATTCTCTGTCTAACGTTCAGCCTTCCAAACCTGATACCGCTGTTGCAAACCCCTTCAAGATCAAGAAGGTGAAATCTTCAGACCTCAAGTCCTTTCAGCGTATTGTGGGAGAGGAGGAGGATCAGCTTGGGCAGATGGACCGGGCCAGCAGCCTCGGAGCAGGACTAAACCTCTCTGTGCCCATGGAAACCCTGGAAATCATCTCAGACTCCGAGGAAGGAGATGCAACGGCAGTTCTTCCTGACTGGTTGAAAGAAGGGGAGTTTGTGACCGTGGGGAACAATAAGAACGGCACCGTGCGCTACCTTGGACCCACAGATTTTGCAGTGGGAACCTGGGTGGGAGTGGAACTGGAGGTACCGGCAGGTGAGTAGAACAGCACCCAACTTGTTTCTTTCTGGATCATTGTAAATGACCTTATTGAAATCTATACATGTATTATACTTACGCGGTGTTTCCACTGCCTGGTATTGCTCAGATTGAGTCGACCACATTTTGTAGCAGGTCTGATTCTCTATTTCGTTATCCACTGCGTATAGTGGAAAGGATCAGCTGACTATGCTAAAGTGTATGCTCGCACTTTGCTTCGCGTAGTTCGCCGGCGGCCATGTTTTTAGTCTCAATTAGGTGAATACAAAAAAAATAAGGCTGATATTGATGGTATATTGGCTATTTAAAAATGACGGTTTTCTAGTTTTTTGTGCTAGGGACCTCTTGATCAATTTGCAGAATTTAACTCTCCATTATCTTGTCAGCACTTTTGGAGTCGCAACCAAGGTGATACAAATAAAGTAACGGTTACTATTGACAACTTTTTCTATTGGAAAGCCAAAATGAAATCGGTAGAGCCGTTCCATAACGCAAAGTTGAAATGTAGCCACCATCACCACTTAGAATCCCCAACAAGCCTTTTTCTCTCATTCTCCAGGAAAAAATGACGGTTCAGTGGGCGGCAAACACTACTTCCACTGTAACCCTGGTTACGGCGTGCTGGTTAGGCCGCACAGGGTCAACCGGGGTGCCGGCAAGCGCCGCCACAAACAACAGAAGCGCCGCAGTGCCAACCTGTCCGGATCCAGCCCAAACCTGGCAGCCCTCACCGTGTTGGCTAAAGGTGAAGGGGGGGTGGCATCAGCCGGCCGCAGCAGGGGAGAGAACCGCAAGTCGTGGAACACTTAGGAGGTTCTAAACCTGCCGAACGGCTCGATGCTGGACCCCCACATGCAGCAGATGGTTGTTTAAGTGTTGGCATGTGACCCCTCATCAGATTTTAATGGTTCATCTATTGAAAGATTATCCTAGCCAATGGACTTGTTTTATGGTTAAATGGATATATTTTATCAGACAATTTGAATGTTTTTAGGTATGTAGATTCCAGTAACAACCTTTTCTATGCAATTATAATAATTTGTAATCGTGGCTGTCTCACTTGAATGGATTAATCTTAGTCCCAGCTCAGAATCAGCAGTTTTCCATTCCATGTTTTGCCACATGCCTGGCATTGCAAATATGGTTAAATGTATCCAAAGTTCACTTGATTACTGTACACTGTAAGACTCCAGGTAACACTACTTCTTCATGTGCTCACATTTCTACTGTTCAAGACTCATTATGCAGCTGCATGTTTGGATAGACTTCAAAGTGTTGCACATGGTTTTATACCTATTGGTTTTTCTTTTTTTAATTATTGTGCCTTGAAATATTATGACTACTATGATGCCTATGTGCCTTAGTGTTAAATCACCAGTGCTGATAGGTTGGAAATTGTCAAACCAGAGCTTATTACAGCTCTTGAATGTGTATTTCTACTGTTTTAGAACAAAGAATACTTGCACTGCCTTTTAAACAATTCTACTGAAAATGTGCAACAATGTTAATCATTTTTTTTCTAAGTGTGTCAAGATCGAATGAAAGTGGCTTCATTTTGGAGATGTGTGCCAGTTTTTGGGGATTTATTTTAGACTAGTACGTTTTTAATTACAATGTGTGTATGGGAATACTTGAGGGATTTTGTTGAACGCAGAGTATTAATTGTTTTGGGTAAGTACAATATTTTATATTATGCCTGAAAGATTATTTATTTAAAAATGAAGACATACAACTGATGCTAAAAGCGAAATTCTCTTTTATATTGTTGAATAAACTTAATTCTGCCCTTATCAACCAATGTGTGATGAACCTATTGTACCTAATCAGATAGCAACACATAGAAAGTCTCATTGATATAGCTTTATTCTCTTGTACATTATATATATATATATATCATACTAAAATAAACACAAGTTAAAAAAATGAACAAAGAAACTGTACAAAAAAATGTATATATACTACATCTTAATTACAGAACAGTCTACTGTCCAAAAAAGGCACTAAATTCTGAAATGGGCAATACAGTAATTCTGAACATAACTAGATTTGAGCTTGATACAACAGCATTCAGTCCTTAGCAGAGCTCTACTGGGATGAGGTGGGTGGTGTTTCACTGGGAACACAGAGGGACATGTAGAAGTGTTGACCCCGACACCATGAGGAGACCCTTTCAAAGTAAAAGCACTACCACCGGAGAACACAGGACATTGGGTTGGGGAAAGCCCCTTTCAGATTTCAGTATGTAATTAAAGATTCATCTGCTTCCATTTTTCTCATGGAAAAGCACAATCTTCCTAAGCACCTGAGGGTTCTTTCTTCCGTCCCATAAACATTTCTGTCAGGCTTGAACGCTCACATAAAATACTGCTGGATTACAACTTGTACTCGCTAATTAGGCCATGGCATCTCTCAAACACTAAGGCAACTCATTGAAAAGTGTCTTATAGTGAGAGAATAATCTCTAAATGCACTCTGTAGTCTTTTCCTTCCACACACAACTTATTTCAGACACTCAATATTATTCATATGGGGAGAGTGTCACACCAAACTCCATAGAGAAAAAGCTTAATTAAAGAGTCCAGATACAGTACCAGCTTACCTACTATCTGCAGGCTTTACCATTCGGGTGTTTGTATGATTTTCTGCAGCTAATCTCACATGCTACTGCAGCCATCAGCATCATATTTTGTGCTAATTTATGACTACATGTATTCAATTACCTCTTTAAGTTAAAGGACTTAACCATCTTTGAGAACTGTACTTTATGGGCCATCATTGACTCCTCTTAGAGGTTTGCAATCGATCAACAACTGCTTCAGTTTAGAATATTGATCTAGGAATTAGGGACAGTTCTTGTCCAGAGTTTCAAGTTAAGACAATTGTGGTTTGTATTCAATCTAGCAATAAATGACAGCAGTGGTAGAGCATAGACACACCCAGCATACTGTACTTTGTGCACTTTTCTAGTCAAAATCTAGTTTTTGGTAGTGATTCCAAATATTTGGAACACATTTTGCTGAATCGCATAACTCAAACACAGTTGTATTTTATTGTGCCATGAGAAAAAAAAAGGGAAGCAATATCTGTCCGCATGTAAGCCTGTCCTTTGATTTTTCGAACAACCATTTCACCATTAATTTGAGTATCACTTAGATCTACAGGACATATTTATTTGTAGTGCATTGTGTACAAACCTATATTGTACTCCCCATTTAGCGTTTATGCAATCCCAATCGCCTGCGACAACATGGTCATGTCTCAATGATAACGCTTTATGTGAAATGGTGAGGGCAACGCAATTTAGTTATTGGAAGCACATTTCATAGACGTTTTGGATAACCTAAAACATTCATTTGAAATGTATTTCTCTAATTTGTATTAATCACACTTTGCCAGAGAAAGATTAAAACACTACATTTTCCAATGGAGTTTGGTGTGGCGTTGATTTCAAGTGAAAACAGCACAAACTGTGATTTAGTACAAGGTGTGGAGCAGCTGTAAAGACATATTTTTCAAATCAGCCCCATATTAATGTATCGGACATTTGACATTTTAAAAGGAAGGCTCATGGAAGGGAAGGTTACATTTGAACTTTCATTAACGGCGATTCTTTTTTTAAATAAGGTGCATCGTTTGTCATCTTTCACAAAATAGCTTACTAGCTCAGACACAAACAGGGAGACTGTTGTTCAGTCAAATAAGGGATGATACAAGATAAAACATTTAAATGATTATGGAAAACATTATTCAGGAGAAATTAAAATGCATGATGAGCTTAGCAATATCAGCATGTTTCAATTTAAAACATATGTCATTCTTTTTTTCAACATTACCATAAAAAACGAGTATAAATACATATTGTGTTTGTCTTTCAACCCTTTCTTTTTGAAACACAGTTCCTAGTACCAAGTCACTGTAATCGCTGCTTCGTACATAGAGAAGCGATAATTTAAATAGAGCTTTACTAGACTACAGCCCAGGGCTGGGAGATATTCTGCAAGCAGGATCCAGATACTAGATTATTTAAAATAATTAACGTCCATATTGGATTTAAACATAATATTACACGAGCGTATAACTAGCTAACTGCTTAGTTTAATCCCGCAAAGTAGAATATTTCCCCAGTTCTCCAAAACCACCACTAAGGCATGGGTTCCTTTAAACAAACAGATTGACATTTACCTTGTTAAAAACTGGCTGGGCGATAGCAGAAACAAACGAGCACTCTCGGCTGTACGCTAAATATGACGCTAAATAGAGAAAGCTAATCTATCTATCTTTAGATAATTTAGCTTAGTCTAGCAAAGAAACTGGCTAACTTGGCTCTGTTCAAAAGCGACCATATCTTTCTTTAAACACTCGTTATATCTCCAGTAAAAGTATCAAAAGTTGCTTCCGTGTGTACCCATCTGTAACACCACAACTTGTTTTGACTTATATTTTTGTATGGCTTTAGTAAGACAAAATCAACTGGGTGAAATCATGAGCTTTAGCCTAGCCTAGCAGTGATGTTCAGCTTATCCTAGCATGAAGACTGCTAGCTATAGCACATTTGAGCAGCCTTCATGCTAGGCTAAATTAAGCTAAGGGTCTACTGGCTTCAGTTTCATGTTTAGCGTACAGACATGAGGGCAGTATCAATCATCACATTTAATTCTGCTCAACCTATTATTTTAATCGTTTCATTTCATCAGATATCAGTCTTTGACTTTAAAAAAGAGCTTAAACTTGACATTAAGTGAGCACCAAGAAACATTAGCCTTAAGAAAGTCAACATTTAGTCTCTGCTTATTACATTATGATTATCTTGGTTCATTGATGGTTTTGGAAAACTTCAACCCGGAGCAAAAAAGTGGAAAATGTATTTCCAATACAACCACTTTATACATCTTTGATTATCTTCCCTTGAAGTGGTGCTTTTGCCGTTGAGGCTATATAGATTAAAGGTAGGGTAGGTAATTCACTTCAGAAACACTTTTTGTTATATTCCATGGAATGCTCTTAACATCCCGATAGCAATGAATACAATAAATGCTTTGACAATAAATATATACAAATATTTCATCTGTGGAAGCCGTGGCGCTGTAAAAAGCATATCCAACTATCTGGGGCAGATGATTGGATGGCCAACCTGCCTGTCAGCCTTCCATCTCGTGCACAAACTTATCTCATGCCCTCATTGGTCATGTGCGCGTTCGTGTGTGTTGGAGGAGGGGCTCTGTAAGGAAGTCTGAAGGAAGGGGCAGATTTTTTTCAGTTGTTTACTTTCAAATTCTAGCGCACTCGAGCTGGTTTCTCCATTCCTACCTACCCTACCTTTAATACAAACTTAAATGGCCTCTTCTGATATTCTAAACCATTTCCAGTGAGGATTTAGTCTAATTGGATATTTTTAAAAAATCCTCTGAAAGCACATTCTTTCTGCTATAATAAAGAGGCAGCTTCACAGAACAAGTAGTAAATAGCTTAGGGGTATTTTATCATTATATGTGTGGCTGCTAATACCTTTCTTTCCCGACACAGGCCTGCTGTAGTGTCAGAACCGCGTAGCGCTAGCTCCAGAGGCTTCACCGAGCTATGAAACAACCTATGTACGCCAGAGGAGTTAGCAGAAATTGCTTTGGATGAACACCATTTTAGATTGGTCTTACAGTAGCTTAACCTTTAAGCTTTTAGCTCCAAGCATCTTTTCCTTTGGCATGGATGAAAACAAAGCACAGTTCCCCTTATTAGATAGCTTACCATTGCTTGATTATCACATTGACCCTAAAATAATGATCATAGCCTCGAGCACTGAACAGTAGTGTCACTGGGAGGCTAAATGATTGTATATCCTGTTGCCAAATAAATGCAGGTGAGAGAAACCACTGCTGCTGTTGGATATAAACCTTTACATTTTGTATGCATACTAAAAAGTTTGTGGTAGTTTCAGGAAAAAAACGAGGTGTATACTGCAAAAAGTAAAGGTGTAGTTTCCTGTATGAAAATAAGGCTACTTCTTTTTAGAGGTTTTCATCCAACAGCGGCTCATGTAAAAAGCCACTCCACTAAGAAATGAGGATATAAGACAGCGACTGTCTGCTTCTGATTATCCTTCCAGAGGAGGGGAGGAAACTCTCACCCTCCATCTTTCCCCAGACAGCTGCTGGAGGTCGCTCTTCCCATGAACTGCACAATGAAGAGGATCATTTGAGGGTTACGCAGGTAGGTAGAGTGTGACTGAGAACCATATATATTATATATATAGTACACCATTTTTTTTTTCTTGAGGTTGACGCTGAGGTGATATAGGGTGAGGATCGGCTCAGACGACCAGGCTGGAGAGGGAAGCACGGGGGAGTAAAGAGGAGAGGTATCCTGTGAGGGGGGGAGGGAGGTACAATCCCAGACGAGGGCCACCGATTTAGGGGTTGAAGGCTTGGGCCCCCCCCCCCTTTATCTTCTTTCCGTGGAACACTTTAAGAGACCCATTCTCACCAGCTGTGTCAATATATGGGGTAGGGAGGGGGGATTACTGTTTACACTGACTTTGTTGTAGGTGGGAAGCTGAGAGGGAGGGACTGATCCAGATTTACTAAGTAGCATTATTTTGGTCTTTTTTCTTTTTTTATCTCCCTGTTTTTTCTCCTCCTTTCTTTGACTATCATTTCTCTTCCACTTCCTCCGTTCCGTTTCCTGTGCAGTTCATTCGTCCTCCAGGGACTCAGTCTTGATGTCGTTTGGGACCCCCCCGGTTCTGGACAGGGCCAGGATGGTGTGGTTGACAGCAGCCATCTCCACAGCCAGAGAGATGGGGTCCTGGTGCTCGATGTGCGCCGCGCCGTCCTCCTGATACGAGGGGGGGGGGGACAGTAAGACCAAGGTCAGTGGTGAACAGATTTAACAGAAAGCAGGAATTATACTTTTGTACATAAAGCTCATTTTCCTGACCAACTGTTCTCTACTAAGTCCCTCCCCCAAAGTGCAGCTTAGCAACTGTAACTGGGCATGTCAGGCCTTTAAAGAAAATCAGAGACGAATTGTGGGAGAGGGACAGCTCTAACCCTCTGTGGGATTTGACTGTGAGTTTCCCCCACCCTCTTTTTGGAATACACTTGAGAGCAGTGCTCCCTATTACTGCCATCACTAGGATATTCAGCATCATTTCTTAAATGCTAATCAAAAGAGGTTAGCATAACTGAAAACATTTAAACCAAGGTTAAAGAGAACCAGATTGTTTTGGAGGTACCTGTGTTGGCGAGGTGGGCTCCAGGCGGTAAAGGCCAAAAGGTCGGCTGAGAGGTCTCTTGTCAAAATAGGGCAGGTCAAATGCCTGGAGGGAAAGAAAAAAAAAGAACAAATTTAGCTCTGTTTAGATCTTAAAAACCCAAGTTCATTAAAGGAACCATTCGTAATATTCTGAATGACGTCGTTCTCAAATGGTTACCATTACAAATGAGAAGAAGGGCAAGCTTGTGTTAATTAATATGCCTTTGGCCAACCATTTTAAGCTATAATTCCTCACAAAAATAAACGTGCTTTTTATATTTCGGGGAGTTTAAACGTAGGAAAACTGCAGTCACATTTTTTTTTAGGTTTCTCTTCTTTGAGAAAATTTGAGAACAGGATCCAGACAACCTTTACATATTAAAAACAACTTCAACCAAAGACAGGGCAACTCATCAGCTAAGTTACCGGTATAAAGATGTGAAATGCATGATCACGTATAACTAATGACTGAATGAATGATCACTAGAATGAGCCTTGGGGTGGATGTGGGTGGTTAGCAAGTGGCAAATCCATCAAAACAGAGGAATACATATATAAATGAATAAGGAATAATCTGACTTTGTACAACAAAAAATGACACGATGGAGCTGTAAAACAAGTGACCTCTTTCTCTTGAATCAGTTGTTAACTACTGTCTGGATCATAAATCTGGTTGTATTTTGTACTTTGGGGATCCATTATCACGCTCTACCTGCTCTGATAAGTCGTTTCCGTCAACGTCGTCGCTGTTGGAGTGCCCCCCCGGACTCTGGACGTCTATCCCATGACTCTCCAGGATTGTGGCTTCTTGGAGGAAGAGGATGAATTGTTAGACTTATGATTGATCACTGAAAGTGTCCTTCATTACAAATATATAGATTTAGATGCTTCTACTTTGACTTCCCAACCGGGGGTACATGGTTGGATTGTGGAGTATCTAAATGCTAAAAGTGTCAAATCTGTAGTTATTCAATCGAACAGCGCTGCCATACACTCAATCTCTATTACTTTGAATATATATTTAAAGAAGCCCTATTGTGCTTTGGGGTTTTTCCTTACCTGTAGTGTGGTATTTAGATTAGTGTGCATGTAAATGGTCTGCAGGGGCTAAAATCCCTCCAGAAGGAGTTCCTCTCCCACATGCATGAAAAGTAGTTCCAATAAATAGCTAACATGGAATGGATAAACTCTTGAAATTGAAAGCTAAAAGTAAAGGAAAAATGGTTTGGATACATAAATATATATATGGATAAATGGTGATAATATTAAGCAAAAAGTGGTCGAAATTTTATATATATATTAATGCTGTCAAAATTATCGCATTAACGGCGGTAATTAATTTTTTTTATTAATTGCGTTAAAATATTTAATGCATTTAACGCATGTGCAGAATGGCCCGCCCCATACATCCCACCAGTGGCAGCGCCAGGGTATGGCTGGGGTAGGGTACACCCATACCAAGAAATTGCTTAGCCCCACCATGAAAAATGATGTTAAAGTAAGCAAAGTAAAGTCCGCCAACTCGTGCGGAGTAAATTGCACAGACAGCAGTTAGTAAGATTGATTTCAGTAGCCACTTGTCTGGAAATACCAAAGACTAGAAACGGTTTTGAAAACTTGTGTCACGTGGTGATCGTCTTCTTAATAGAACATCTTTGATAATGTCTTCTGGCCAATCAGAATCAAGATAACGGCGTGGTGTTGTTGCAGGAAGTCCCGACGGAGAATACTTTTGCTGTAGTGCATCTCTATATACATCGATACAACATTACGTGTTGATAGAAATCAACACGTAATGAAATAAGACCCCACGGTTTGATGATTGATAGGTGTGTGGGCTGTCTTTCATTTTGACACACAGAACAATGTTATAATAAACATACATACATACTGTATGTGAAATGGATATATCCGCCTTCTTTAATTTATCTTTCCATTCCCACAACAATATACATAAAGAAATGGCATATTTTGGACATAGTTAGAATGGTGATTAATCTGATTAATACATTTTTAAGCTGTGATTAATCTGATTAAAATTGTTACATCGTTTGACAGCCCTAATTATTTAATGTATCAGGGTTTATGCAGGAATCCTGAAGTCTTCTCGTGCTTCTCTCCGTATCTGGACTGACACCGTTCTCCTGTTTTAGCTATGACTGTGACCCTCTGTCCCCTTAAATTTGGTGCTCCCATTCGTTCCTGTGTCCACCCCTGTTAGTCCCGCCCCACTGGCGACTACTCGTGCCTCTCTGTCTTCCGCTGTCCACTTTTGTTAGTCCTTTAAATCTTGTGTGGTCCACTTTGATTGCTAGTCTGTCCTTTGTGTCCCTCTCTCTGCTCTGTTTATTGTCCTCCTCTTGTAACTCTCCCTCTTGTCTTTTTGTGGTGATGGTTGTGTGTTTGATTGTGCTTGTGTTGTGTTCTTAGCACACTGTCTCTCGTAGTAGTGTGTGAGAGTACATTACTATTGGTACGAAATTAAAACGATGCAGTAAGCATATAAGTTGAACATAAAAAAGCACTGCAAACATTATTTACATAAGATCAAACCTAAATGGGGGTAAAAACCTTAGCAAATAATAAAACTCTAAATAGCAGTATGTGTTACGGACGACGTTCGCGATGGTAAGGAATGTCTGAAGAAAGGACTTTAGAGTTTAAGACTGAAAAAGGGGAGCAGCTGCATTTAGGAAGGTTTTTACTTGTTTTAGTCGGTTTCTCATGTCCTTACCGGTGAAAGACCAAGTTTCTGACTGAAGAGACGTAGGATTTTGACAGTCTTTTAGTCAGAGTTATGGTGTTTTGGGGTGGTTTATCGTGGTTTTACCCGGTTTGGTAACCATTTAACGGACGTATACATTAATTGGCGTTGGGAATACCCATTAACCACGTTTAACACGGGCTGCTGCCCGTCCAACATACGGCCAGTCATTCCACAAGAACACCACCGGCCTTCTGTTGATGAAGTTAATGGAGTAAAATGGAGAATTAGTGCGCAGACACCATGAGTTGTTAGAAAAGGCCCAAGTTTGACAGCTGCTACTCACACTGGGGACCTGATTTTACCCAATTAGCGGGACTAAAATTTATGAAATAGTTTGAGATATTGGAGGGAAGTCATTTACCTTGACTCTTGCCTAGGTGTGGTGGTGGATTAACCTTCAGGTGTGTTACTATGTTATCTGTACGTGAGAGATACGTATATATTTTCGGCTACCACGTTATATATATATAATAATTATATAAGTTATTGAGGATATGCACGCTAAACCTAGACGGTGATGAAAAAAACTAGCATGATTTACGGCGAAGCATTGTGACAAGGTCGATAAACTGCAATTAATACACTCGCGAGAACAAAGGACATCAAATAAATCTACGAGGAAAAATGACGGAGACAAGCATCATGTCAAAATTTGACCTATTTTTATTTCATGATAGAATAGACTCTCTAATCACATATTTGTTGTACCTACATATACCCACACAGACAGGTCCGAGTCTCACGACCGAGGAGACGTCTGGTCCCTTCTAATTTCAATTAGTGTATGATGTGTGAAGGGGCGGTGTTTGGTTCTGTTATGCGAGTGGACGTCCACGTCAGGACTCCTACCAAATGTCCTTCAAATGCCTATTCTGACCTTCAGGGGAAAGACTCCCTTACCGAAGTCTTTTCCGCCATCCTCCCTTTAAAAGTGTTCCGAAAAAGGTGTACGACGGGAGATGACACTGTCCGAGGTACGTCCGACTTTCTCCTAGGACCTCTACCTACTTACTAGACTGTGCAGCAAATGAAACGAACCTCAGTACGCAAACCCTCCAAGTCAGGAGAGCGTTAGACTTCAGAATATTATTCTCTCTAAGGATTTCGTCTCCTGACAAAAAAGTTAGGAACGAACGTTATTCAAACCAGGAAAAATAAAGATTTAACCACCTATTATTGATACTACTAAGAGAGGTCTGTCAAACTTTATGTCTATAATTATTTCCCTTTAATACTCGGAAAAAAGGAATAGGTACAAAATAGGAGTTTGAAAAAAGCAAGAAAAGAGTTAAGAATGAAAATACACTTTCATCCATATACGAAACTACTGTCAGTTAACATAAGTGTTTAAGAATGAAATAAGTTTTTCAGACCTGAAACACCAAGCATTTTACAGCCTGCGCAAAAAGAGTCTAGAGCCAACGTACCATGACAAAAGGAGCTTGAGACTTGAGTTTAAGGTCATTCAACCAGAAAATAAATGCTAACACCTATTTTGAGTCCTACAAAGAGTGTCGTCAAAACTTTACTCATTCCCTTAATACTGGGACAGAGGTCAAACTCGTAAGAAGTTGAGACGATCGGATCAGTTCGACCTTTGTATTAGTTTCTCTTAGGTTTTGTATGGTACTTTTTTGAATAAAGATGAACTGAAATAGTTTTTTATAGTTGTTTTACTAGTCATTTGTACGCGCGTGTGTGTGTGTGTTGTGTGTGTGTGATGTGTGTGGTGTGGTGAGGTGTGTGTGTGTGTGTGTGTGTGTGTGTGTGTGTGTGTGTGTGTGGTGTGTGTGTGTGTGTGTGTAGTGTGTGTGTGTGCTGTTATTCGTCTGTAGTATAAAAACAAAGAACCGTTCGACTCTGTCATAAGATGTTGTTTTTTTGTTTTTTGCTGGTTTGGGAACTTCACTTCTCAAAAGGAAGGAGGCAATTTTTGTGAAGCAGTCTCTACTACTCCCTGCGTCCTCTTGTCTTTTGGTGGACCTCACTGAAAGGTTTATATGGTTATAAATATATGTAATGACGTCTCCTTAGAGGCGAGACAGGCCTCCTTGGAGAAGTTGAGGACGATTGAGGTGTGTGTGTGTGTGTGTGTGTGTGTAGATGTGTGTGTGTGGTGATGTGTGTGTGTGTGTGTGTTATGTGTGTCGTGTGATGTGTGTGTGTGTGTGGTTGTGTGTGTTGTGGTTATTCGGTCTGTAGTATATACCAAAGCAAAGGAACGTTCGACTGTCAACTGAAAGATAGTTGTGTTTTTTGTTTTTCGCTGTTTGGGAACTTCTACTTTCTCAAAGAAGGCATTTGTTGTGAAGCAGTCTCTACTACTCCTTGCGTCCTACTTGTCTTTGGTGGGCCTCACTGAAAGGTTTTTTATATGTTATAAAGTATTAATTACGTCTCTAGAGGCCTCCTTGGAGAAGGAAGGACGATTAGTGTGTGTGTGTGTGTGTGTGTGGTGTGGTGTGTGTGTGTGTGTGTGTGTGATGGTGTGTGTCGTGTGTAGTGTTTGTGTGTGTGGTGTGTGTGTGTGTGTGTGTGGTGTGGTGTTGTGTTGTGTGTGTGGTGTGTGTGGGTGGTGTGTGGACTAATGAAGTTGTGTTAGATGTTTTTATCTGGTAAAATGTGAGACGTACAACTCAGGGTTGGCGGGGAGGGGGGGGGTGCGGGCAATCGAGCGCCAGAAATTATGTATATCCTATAGCAGCAATAAGTTAACCTGGGCCACTTGTTACGAATAACGCGATCTGTACGAAGAATAAACCGGGTTTACACTTTTTACTTTCGTTATTTATTCCTCCTTATTGACACACAAAAATTTAAGTTATTAGCACGCAACCAACCCCACATCTAATGGCACGCACGACTTGTGTCCTTCTCATAGCATACTAGGCAAATGCCCCTCCTAAATTTTATTTTTCGTGACGTCCTTGCGCAGACTTTTCCTGAGTCGGCTCACCCCTGAAGTATAAGACCCATCAACAATAAACACTCTTACGGTCACGATCTGTGAAAGGGATGAAGGACGACCAAATGAGAAGACATTACCATTGGAGATACTTCAGTCTTAGTGTTCCCACCTCAAAACAGAGTTTCAGTGTCTGTACTTAATACTTCGAACATAACGTTGTTGATTTATGCTCCTGAGTTTGTATTTATGGAGTCGGCTGTCAGACCCTCTCGCTCAAGCTTATCTTTTCGGTCTGTTTCTTGGGCATCTAAAGTCTTTCGTCGGGTCTATTTTTCTAACTTACAGAGTTATAAACTGTCTTACTCTGAAAACGTCTTCAGATCGCCTCAGACTTGTACTTCTTTAGACAACACAGAAGTATTCAGAAAATCTCCAAGTTTCTTGGGGGTTTATTTAGACTTACCAAGGAAGGAAAGCGCAGGATAAGTTTCAG